GCTGAACGATCCTTCGATATATACTACAAATTACACAACTTGAAATCAATGGATTGTGAGGATATTGCCTACCTACCCCACTCATTTATAAGTACTGTTGCTGCGTCACACGTTCATGATACTTGGGACAAGTTGACTGATGAGATGCGAGCTGATTGGTCCATTGCAGGATGTAAACTTTGTTATGAACATCATCGAGAAATCAGAGGTGATAATTTTGATGGGCCACCTCCTATGATAAGGGATTGTGTGAAGTGTAATAATTTTCAAAGAAAAAAATATTTTCAATTGTAAAATTTATTCATGTACTTCTTATATACTATTACATTGGTTATAATCATAAAAAGAATCATTTTTTTGTATACAAAATATATGAATAAAGACAAAAAAAACAAAAAAAGATCNTGTTAGATTCTCCTCCGGAATACTGCAACGTTGGTGAACCCTTTTTTGATATGATTGCAAAAATTCTCAAATTGTTTAGGAGCATCCTCAAAAAACTTGACCAATCTGTTATTCACGAAAACAGAATGAGCATTCGACAAATGCAAAATAACTCCTACACCATATTTTGTCTCTACTTTGAAGGCTGCAGTGATGGTGTACACATAGTTACGCTGCAATTGAGATATTTGTATCAGGGGCAGCTCTTTGAACTTTGCAACAGCGTTGATAACGTCAAAATTCACCTCATCAGCAGGGCTTGCAAGCAGCAGCATTGAATCGGGGTGAAGTCGGATATTGTGGTATTTTCCTCCCAAATATTCCAATGTTATTGTACCTTTTCCGATATATTTTTGGAAATTCTCGAACATCTTTATATTCTCAGCGAAGAACTTGGCCAGTCTAGTATTCACAAAGACTGAATGAGAGTCCGAGAGATGGATAATAACACCCACTCCATATTTTGTATTCACCTTGCGAGCTGCGGTGATGATGTAGAAAGCTCCAGCTTCCAAATCCTCAAGTTTCACGAGAGGAAGATCTTTCAATTGTGCCACAGCGTTGATTTTGTTGAAATCCATGATGAATTTTCACTCGAGTATCAAACTTAAGCTTGAATTTGAGTCTTCTGAAGATTNGATGTTCTTGAGGAGAAGATTTAAACGGTTCTTAAATTCCTGTCGCTGGAGACTGTTCTTCATAGAGAACGATGTACCGAACTGATGGTGGACATAGAAATTTTGTTGGTTATATACATCAACCCCCACTCTTGTACCCTTCATTTTCAACATTAAATAAACAAATACACATTATTTAAACAACGATTGTCCGAGAAATGGGAGTGGTAAACATAACAGGGCCGGATATCCCAAGTAGATACAAGTTCGAGCATGTCTGGAAAATGTCAAGTGGGTCGGTAAACATCAAAGGACCGGAAATCCCAAGAAGTTCGATGCTGTCTGTGGGGGGCTGAAATGGCTGACCCCCAACTGTGAAGAACTCAAGTCGGCTATATCAAGTAGACCCTCTCTGACGCTTGCAGGTTCAGACATGTTTGAGACCATTCCTCACCAGCTCATGAATTGGAATCACGAATTAATTGATTCGTGCTTCAATCAACCCTTTCACCCACCCACACCGCGGGGTGGAATAATTCAGTCGTGAATAGTTTCCACTGAAGTCCAATAATATGTTAATTAATTAATCAATTAATTAGCCCGCGAATCAATTAACTCTTTCATCATTTCGATAGAAGAAATTGCGAATTCATTAATCAAACCGCGAATCAAACCGCGACCCGCGAATTAATCAACCCTTTCACCCAACACCCCCCCTCGCGGACTACCATCCAACACTTGGTCAACCAAAACGTTGATCCAGAACCCCCCCTATCACACTACATTCGGTTATTCAAAAAATCCCCCTCTGCCTTGTTTACTTCAGCGAATACTCATTTTGAAAGGGGGAGACAATATTCTATTCATGTTCTTCCTCCTAAATTTTACTCGTGTCAATTGAAATTTTAACTTTTATGCTACCAATTTTCTATTATATCGACTCGAAATTTTTACTATGTTCAAGAGTAGTTTCTCCAACGGACTAACGTCATATTTTAATTTAGTCACCCGTATTTTTTCAATCTGCACGTTGTAGTTTTTCATTTGCTCTCAAAATTACGATGTTAAATGGTAAGTTTTCGAGCGCGGTGGGTATAGTCGTGCATTTTCTTTTTTATGTTAAACATTACTATGTTCTCAGAGCAAAAAATAATTTTATATTCCTTCCATGCACGTTTAATTAATTTTTACGGGCAACGGAGAAAAAGTCACTGCTCGTCTGGCACTTTTTTTCTCAAGATATGATGAAAAAAAACTTGTCTTGTTGATTGTATGGTAATTTTTCTATGACTTTTATTTTTCTCTGCATATTCTACTTTTAATTCTAATCGGTTCACTCACTCTAACTACACAGAGATAACGTTTTAGTTTCAAACTATTGATTTACAATTTTTAGGAGTTGATCTTCACTTTCGAGAAACCTATTCCTATTTTTTGCTAATTCTCAAAAATAATTAGAATTGCCCGTAAATTTATGGATTCAATTACTAGATTTTAGAGATAAAATTTCCAAGATTTACGATTATATCACTGGAAATTAATGAAAAAAAATTGATTTTAGAGGTTCCCATCTGTCAAATTTTAGAACACCGTAAATTCTCAAAAACTGGAACTTTTTCGTTTTCTGTGTGTACCAGAAAAGTCAGCAACAATGTTCTGGACAATGTGCACCCCTAATTCCTCGTACATAGATTCATTCATGCTTATATGCTAGGGTAACCATCAGAGATTACTTTCCATCTATCATAAACAAAGCAATCTATACCATTTCCGCGCTATCGACCCAGTGACCAATTGCATCATGCTTGTCCGACATAAATTAAGTGAGACAGTTCCTAATGATGTTCTCACTAGTTTACCATTGATTTACCATTGCAGTAACCTGTATCATCCTCAGTGATACCTTATGTTTATCCATTACGTCTAGGGAGAATAGAAGGAATATGAATAACTAGGAAACTTCAGTTGATCTTTAACGTAAGGAATAGGAAAATCAATTATTTTAAAAAATTATATTCTTCTTTTTCTGGATGGAGTATGGTGTTTATAATCAAGTTCATACTTCGTGAATGAACCTCTAGACATTATGTACATATACGTTTAATCGCATATAATGAAATTTTATCAGTAATGAGCAGATGAAAATGACACAAAGATACATAATCCGGATGTAAAAAGTTGTTTTCAGCAATTTTACTTAAAATTCGATGAATTATACTTAATAATCCAAAAATAACAGGCAATCAATGAATTTTTCATGCATTAATATTACGATTTAAAAGGTAATTCTTTCTATAATTTCAAAGGTACTTGTTCCAAATTTTTTTTCTCCGCACTGAACTGAGAAATTCATTAATTTCTAAACTATAATACAATGAGTCATTAGGGGTATAAATTATCTAAATGTATTTGAGATCTATTTACAACGGGTGCTATACTGGATATCCCCAATCGTCTTTCACCATGTCTGATAATTTCTCAGCTATCATATAAGTGGGGATGTTGGTATGACCCGACATAATTTCAGGCATTATCGATGCGTCAGCTACTCTCAGGTTCTTTATCCCATGTACCTGAAAAGTAGAACATTAGTGAGCAGTATGGTCACAGAACAGGATGTCGCAAAACTGGAATGGGAAATTTTTGGACTTGCGAGAGGGTTCAATTCTATAATATGGTGATAATTGTCCTCCGATATTTGACTCCGGGCAAAAGTAAGAGAGTTATAGATTGATAACTTGGCAACCTTTATCAGTCCATAAATCGAATTCACTTCTAGCTCTCCAGGCCATTGTGCAATTGACAGTAATTTTAAGCTCAAAGAGAACAACTATCAATTCGCTCTGTCAGCTATTATTTCGAGTGATAAATCCACTTCTCGGCAAGTTCAATTCATTTATTTTCATCTATATATTACAACCAAAGGAAAAGCTAAATGTCAAAGCATACCTATCATAAATTCTGATATGATAGGAAAAACCTTTCAGCCTCCTAAACTTAGACAATGTCCCTAGTTCTGGACTCAATTTTTACCCTCCATATGACTCCAATTCTGACCCTTATTGTCATTCTGATTGAGACTTAGAGAACGGATCCCTCAAAGGTTGCGCCATTAATATGCAAATATTTCTCAACACGGAGAGAAATATTCAGTAAAAATTACAGAACAATTCACGTAATTCATAATGGGGAATCATTTTCCGGCAATTTTTATAGGAATGGAAGAGAAGAAATCTGAAACGTTCAGTGAATTTTCAGGTTCATCACCGAACAAAGTACGAAATTATCACGTAATTTTTCCCGAAGAAGTAAAATCTAACAGAAACTTTCCGACTTCTTATGCCTCCAAAAGCGTCCCTTAGATGAGCCTCCTGTAGCGGATTTATTCCGATTAAATGGCTTTTCCGACTATATTCAATGAATTAATTAATTAATTAATTGAGATGTTGACCATCTCGGAATTCTGTAGTTCGTGGCTAATTTAATAGGTTTGAGATCTATTCCAACCACATCGGGTTAGTGAGAGGCCTCGGGTCTCATTCTTCCAGTTTTATCCTGACTTTGTTTCATGGTTTGTTTTTTGCTGGAAAATTTATTCCCGTCCCTATTCAGTGAGATTCTTTCAGGAAGGATACCATTGTAAAATTCTGAGATATCCGCGCAGGATATTTTCGTCCAAAAAACTAACAATTTTGGGAATGTTTAAATTTTTTCTTCACGAGTATACTTCTGAATCTTGTAACAATCAGCAAAAAGATTAGCATTTTTTACCACCATTCTTTGGAAGCACAAGAAGACGGCAAAGCTCATGAATTTTTCCGGCCCCCTAAAATCGGGCATTCTTACAACCTTTTCATTACGATATAATTAATTTGAATTCACTAAGGATTTTGAGAAGATGAGGCTCCGTATAGGATAAGATGAATAATCAATCCATCAATTAAAACATGTTTTATATTTCTACGATTTTTTTTTTGCTGAAGTTATGCGTGTTTAACTCCGAGGTCCTCAACTTCTGAAACGGACAGTAAAGTAACTTGTTCTAGCTGTAGGTCCGTCAAAACCCAAGGAAGTGCACTGTTCAAGCATGTATTCCAATAAATATTTTACAGTTATAAAAAACATAATTAAAACAGGAAAAATTAATCATACCCTTAGCCTTGCATCGACGACTGCAGTGGGATCATTCTGAGGGCCCATTTTACACGTCCCCGAGTAATGATATATATTCATTGTTATAGTTCTGATCGCACATTCCCAAAAATCATCACTATTCTCCTCGAAACCTTGACACTCTCTAAACTTTGCTGGAAATAACTTGCTCCCGAACCTCTGCATAGCCTTAGTTTCACTAATTTTCAATGTCGCTCTGATACCTTCAATTAGAACCCTGACATCCTGTTTGTCCGCCATATAATTTGGTATAATTATCGGCTTACTCTCAATACTGACATTACGTAGCAGAATTTTCCCTCGGCTCTTAGGTCTCAGTAACATAGGGAAAACCATCCAAGTATAGCTATGTTCATCAGCCGCATATATTTCATTCCAAATATCATCTGAAACTCCAAAAGCATAACGCGATCTACTGACGGTGAGAAAGGAAGACGATATAAATAGCAATTCTACATTCGGATAAGCAGTATGATTATTTGGTCTATCCACATCAAGAAAGGCTAGTGCTTCACAACCACCGGCCACAGTCAATGGTCCTGTTCGATAAAGCAAATAATCTCTTAAGTACGGATTAGTCGGGTTGATGAGGTCATAGATGTGTAGTCCTACCGGTTGGTTGACTTGAAAGATGAGGCCATACGCAATGTGGTCCATTAAATTTTCGCCGACTGGAAGATCAACTATTGGATTTATTCCAATTTCTTTGATATGCTCAGCTGGGCCTATTCCCGATAACATCAGAATTTGAGGACTACCAATGGCACCCGCACTCAAGATCACTTCTTTCTCTGCATAAACTTGGTACATTGTGCCGTCTTTAAAGTACTCTACACCAATAGCTCGCTTATCGTCATCAATAAGCACTTTTGAAACTATGGTATTCCTTGTCACTAACAAATTCGGCCTTGATTTTGCTGGATGTAGATAAGCCTTACTACTACTGCATCTCATACCATCTTTTATGGTCGTTTGGAGGTAAGAAAATCCAACGGGCTGGTCAGCACTGTTGTAATCAATGATTTTGTAACCGAGTTCCTTTCCTGCTTCTAGGAAAGCTTCTGCGAGGGGCGTCTGAAAATCAGCAGCATTGATATGAACTGGACCATTATCATTGTGATCTTCTTTATCTTTGAGTTCTGGGATACCCATAGTTTCAAGTTTTTTGAAGTACGGTAGAACCTCTTTCCATGACCAACCTTCATTTCCAAGCTCTGCCCATCGATCATAATCTCGTGGATCTCCTCTCGTTGCGATGAGATAGTTCAACACACTACTTCCACCCATCACTTTACCTCGTGGCCAGTTACATCGTTTGTCCGTCATTCCTCTGCAATAATTATCAGATGGCTCCGCTTGATATTTCCAATTAACGTCATCCCTGAATTGCAGATCATTGACAATAATAGGCACATTCATAGCAATATTTTCACTGCGTCCTGCTTCAATAAGTAGTACCCGAAAATCTGATATTTCACTGAGCCTTGAAGCAATTGCAGCACCTGCTGTTCCTGCTCCGATGACAATGAAATCGAATTTATCGCCATTTTGTGGGGTTGTCTCCGGTGGTTCCAAAAACATGAATCGTATGCTGTCATATGCAAATTTCAGAATACCTGCTATGGTTTTTAACACATTCTCGATACCATTGAATGGTTCATCACCGTATAGATTTATGTAGGTTTTTTCCGCTTGAGAAACCGCGATAAGACTCAATAATAATAGCAACCAACTCATGGTTATCCGACCATATGACGACCTCAAATCAAATAATTGTAAAGATAGCTGCATCTTGATCTCGATCTTTGCTACTAACCCCGCGAACTCAAATGCGAAAATCGTCCTCTGGAGCCAGTGATGGTTTATAGGTGCACATTCGCTAACATTGGTCAATAAACAAAACCTCCCTACACCAGAAAAATCACTGCACTCTAAATCACTAAGCAGCAGAGAAACCAAATAGCATTTGCTCTAGGGTAAGAATAAGATCTACTAATGTGATTGAGTATTTGTCAATGGACGTCTCCGAAAAGACCTGAGAGTCTATTCCAGAATCGACTCTCAGGCGATCGTACACGCTAGGCTCATCACCAACTGGAGAATAGGTTGTCTATCCCCCTACTTATATGCAAGATGCATAATTCTACGAGTTCACGCAATTTATCCACTACTACAATCGAGCGAATGAAAATAAATAAAAAATTACATCAATTCATATCTATGACTTTTCTGATGTTCTCACGTTTTTTGCGCCAGACATCTACTTACCAGGAAAATTCATATAAGTTGATAGACAAATGATGGAAATTGATTCCGTGACAACACACCACATTATCTAATGGGAACGCAAAATGAGTAATGAAAAATGAAGAGTGAGAGGTCAATTATAATGAGCAAGTTTCCATGATTGTATCTTCCATTCATCGACGTCATTACGCTACTGTTACACTCATTTCCAATTGAAATCGACATGCTGCCGCGGCCAAAGACAATCGAAAATTCAATCGATATTATCATTATATTTATGTCGTTCTTCATTTTTATGTTCAAATTGAATTCGATGCGTGACGTATTGGATCAATCATAATGTAATATATAATATAATATATAATAATGATTTCATTCTTATGAGATTTTCCTTCGGGCAATAAGTTATCTATTTTTATGTTTACAAGTATTTTGGTAGAACCTCAATTGAATCCTGCAGTGACTCTTTTCCGTAACATTGTATCATTCATGACTCCATCGCTCTTGAGATTGAACGGCTTAATGGAACAAAAGAAACCTATTCATACCACGTTCGGTAGGAAAAAAATTCAATAAACAATCACTAGTTTATACTCATGACCATTTAACTCTTGCTGTTATTATTTCTTACAGCATTCCGTGATTTTTTCGTGAAAATTTATCGAATCAAGTTCAAATTTTTAATGTGATCTTAAAAATTGAAGTATTGTGAATATTTCCTTTCCTTCTCGATAATCGATCAAGGGTCGATTTATTACTGAATTATTGAGGAAGAATGCTAGTGTCAAACAGTTTCTCAAGTTATAAATTTCGCGTATATGTGAATCGGGTGCATTTTAACGTGTTATTTACAGAGGAGAAATGTTTTTTTTTTAGAACATCTCTCGTGAAAATCGGGTAGACAAATGCAGTTAAACAATTACATAAAATTTCAAAAAATATCAAATTATATCAAGTCAATAGAGAATGTCATAAAATATCAGGATACAATAAATGACGTAGTTATTATGATGAAAAATATCATACTGGATAGAATTATGCCAAATTTTTAATGTCATCATTTTTCATATGATGACATTTTCTGACACGTATCCGTGCTGAAAATATCCTCCAAAAATGTCAATATATGACATCTGTTTGCGCCGCCCGTTTTCGTTTTTTTATATTTTAGCGTGATTCTCGACGTTTAAAAATTCTGAAAAAGTTCAATTCTTTTATTAAGGGTTGGCGTTATGGGTCATTTTTTCGGGAAATTTATTTAGCTAAGAAAAAAGGTCGAACGAACAACAGCGGCGCCGCGCCGCCCAGTGTGAGTGAGTACCTCACTGTCGACCGCTCGAGAGTGTTGCTACATTAACTGCCACACTTAGAATGCGCGCATCGAGGTCCCCGGGGACAAAAAGTCAAACGGGCCAAGATTGGGCCAGTACTGGCAGCCGCGCTGCCGAGTCTTGAGTGCCGATCCTCAATCGGCCTTGGCACAGCCTCGGCTAGCTATTCGTTGGGCCGGCATTGGCTGCCAAGCGTCGGCCGATGATCAACACACATGACCCATCCAATAGTTATTTTTAATAGTTGAAAAAATTAATTAATACATTATTTTGTTATTATTTAATTTACATTCTTCGGCTAATCGTTCCTAAAGAATTCGATAACCGCTGATAATGATGAGTAAAAAGTTTGACTTTTCGGGATTCGATCCCGGAACCTTCGGATTGCTAGTCCTTGGCTTTACCCACCCGGCCACCGTAGAGTTGTTAGTTACGGAGAAGTTTATCGGCTATACGAATAAAATATGGTATTCTTATTTGATTTTTTAACTTTCTTTAATTATGAAATTCAATATAGGTGTGGTAAACAGCCTATTTATTTATGATATCAATAAATAATGAGGTTACAGCATTAAGGTCTCGAGTTTGAACCTTACATAACTCATGATCGTTTGACAATTAGCATCTGTTTACATTTTTCTGTATGACCCATTCGACTCCTATGATCATTCGACCTTTTATAAAAGCCTCCGACCCTTACAAGTACGTTGATTATTACCCCTATTTGACCCTTATGATCGTCGTGACTCTTGAAATACCCTTTATATTATTGCGCTCATCTTCCCCGCTCGATTTTGGCTCTAATGAGAGTTTGACCCTTGGAATTGGTTAACTTGTCTTTCCTGTTTGACCCTTATCAAGTCTCGGCGTCCGAATTTTACCCAATTATTGGCCGAGACTTGGTACTCGACGAATGGCCAATTCACGTTCAGCCGACACTTGGTCGTGAAGGAGTCGCCGAGACTTGGCATGCCAGTCCAAAGCCGATGTTTGGCCGTAAGTGGGTCGCCAAGGCTTGACATGCCGATTCTAGGCCGAGGCTTGGCTGATTCAGCAGCATTTGGCAATTCGGCCCCGGGTAAGCGCCAACGTGGCAACAATGCGCTCGGTTTAACCCAGCGGCGCTGCGCTAACCGTGTGACCATAGATGCAAAATGACCGACATTTTTTGGATCGCGTTATATGACCAAAAAAGGACGGTCATGTGACGCACAAATTTTCCAACTACAAATGATTGTCACAAATCATTTGTAACCAAATTGTTGTCAAACCATCTATATAGTTGCATAATGACGGTCATAACTAATTTCCAATTTGTGACGGTCATGAATAAAACAAAATAGTTCCACCTATATGGATGGAAAAAAAACGTGATTTCCATTTCAAATTGCGGATAAGTTCAATACAAAAGGAATTCAACTGAAAATTGACCGAGAAAAAAATACATTTTCATCTATATAGATGAAAAATGACTGTCATTTTTTCTTGACAAGTTGTGACGGTCACAGAAGGGGAAGGGGGAATTGTGACAGCCGTCATGAACGCCTCGTCATGTGACCGTCAATGACGATCACATGACCGTCATATGACGGGTCATGTGACGCATTTGCATTGTTATGTCGCTGGCCCTTCGTAACTAGGTGGCGTTATGCACACCTGGCGGGCAATTTAAATATTAGTCTGATCAGAATAATTGAATTTAAATAATTATTTTATCCTTCTTTTATTTTATACTGCGTATTTGGGGGACGTGTTTTCCGGAGAAGAACGATGCATTATTTCAATTTTCGAATATAGAGGTCCATTGGAAGAAAAGGAAAATAAAGACCGTTGAAATAAACATAGGAATAAACACTCTGAAATAATATCGGGTTTCTGTTGATTTTTCTCGAGTCGCCATAAACATCGTAAAATTTTATGCGTCTGCTTTCCAAGAGGGTCCATGACTAATCATGAACAGACCTCCTTTTGTGTCCTTTGTTTCCTTGTGAGAAACGTCATTTTCTCCTGGAACACGTGTGTCC